TTTAATTACTATTTATATATGTTATTAAATTTTTATTTAAAATTTATCTTTTAAAAAATAAAAAGTTAAATTTAACCTATTAAAAATAAACAAGTGGATATTTACTAGAAGAATATTAATGAATAGGGTGATGCTACAGGGACCAATCGGTCCTTGTTACTCTTTTATTTTTGTTTTTAAAATCTAATATTTTTTTGCTTTATTTTTAAATCTTGTAATTTTTTATTTTAAATTATTTAAATTATTAAATACTTAGATTTTTTAAATATTAAATCTTAAATTTTAAAAATTTAATTTAAACACATTAAGTATTAAATTTTACTAAATTTAAAATTTAAAATTGTAAAATACTAAATTTAAAAAATTTAAATGCTAACACCTTAATGGAAAGCCCTAAAATAATCTAAATAGTAAATACTACACTTTAAAAAATTTAAACTCTAACGTCTTAAATACTAAATCTTAAATTTTCTAAACTTTAACAACATGAATTTAAAGTATTTTAAGTTACAAAAATAAAAAGATAAAAATAAATTTAAATGGTTAAAAGTATGGATTAGTTAATAAATTTACCTTAAAAATGGGGAAAGAATTTATTGGTGCCACGAGGCCGGCCTCCCTTGGCTTGCTAGGGGGTCGGTCCCTATGGCATTTTCCTAACGAATAAGATATGATAATTAAAGACTATTAATGAATAAACACTTATAAAAAGAATAATAATAAAGAACTTTTCATTCAATTAATATCTATTTTTTCGTATATTTTATAAATCTTGATTTTCTCTTTCTCATCATCACCAAAAAATAATCTTTAATAATAAAAATAGCAAAAAAAAGAAAAGGACTAAAATAGGACGAAATTAAAAGTACATGAATAAAAAGGATTGAAATAAAAACTCATGGAATTAAACTGTTTTGTTTCAACATAAAGAAGTTGGGCCAAAGAGACACGGGCAGAGAATATCTTAGGTGCTAGCACGAGAAAAGCAGAAAAAGATGGGTTCG